TGGAGGCCAGTAGTGGTGTGGCCGCCGACAGGCATACTATGAGCACTATAACTGCACTAGGTGCTTTCATTTCACTTTCTATTATTCAATATACAGGTGAACAATGATCAATAAATTTATTGTTTTTATTTATATAGGTATATTTGTGCGAACCATGCACCTGGTTCATAATTAATCTTTCGCAATTAATAAATGGTACACCCCATGGTGTACTGTACTGTACATGTATTTAATGGGTTTTAAGCTACGTTTTAAAAAACTCATTTTATTGAATAATTTTAGTTTGTATTATAATTTTTAAATGAAAAGCCAAATAATTTCATTTAAACTATAATATAATTAGTAATTAATTATAATATAAAATATTACGGTACACATATTTATTTTATACGGTACTAATTAATTGTAACAAAAAAGTATAAATTAAAAACTAATCATGTTGTATTAATAAACATAGTTATGATATATGAACTACAAAACTAACTAATCTTTAACTAAAAATAACTCATAATTCTGATGAAATAGTGCTTTAATGATAAAATGCAAAATTATAAATTTAGATATCGCCTTAATATTTATAAATATTAATTTATGAACTTAAAAATAAATTACTATACAAAAATTATAAATCGTGTTAAGTAATCAATTAGTATAAACTAAAAATCAATGACAAATTAAATTATTGTTCCTTTTATGAGTCTGACAAATAGCACCTGTGTCTTTTAGATTATAGATATTTCGAAATAATCTGTGGTAAACAATATTATGAACACTAATTAATATAAAAGATTATTACTAACTTAAAACCCATGTGTCAGTTCATTTATGGAATATAAGTACTTAAAATCCATTTGCTCCTTAAAATAATTTATTAATATAAGATACTGTATTTTTTGTCTTGGTGATAACATTAGATTTATCCAAATACATAGTAAACAGCCAACAATATAGAGTATATATATATCTAATTATCATTGAACAAATTGCTAATCAATTTGGCATAGTTAACCACTTAGCATTATAAGTTAAAAGCATATAAAGGTACAAGGCTAAAGTTTTAGTTAAAAACAAAAGTAGTTTACGGATACAGTATGTACTTACAATTTGTTACAAACTAAGCAAACATAACACTTGTGTATTGGTACTAAAATTATGGTACGATCCTAAGTAAGATTAAAAAATTGTTCAACTCAATTTATTAATTGTAATAGATTAACTTTATATGAAGCAGTCGCAGTATTCGCAAATATATACCCACATATCTGTATATATAAAAACAAAAAATTTTTTTTAATCAATTCATACCGTGTATTGAAAAATAGAAAGTAAAATGAAAGTGCCTAGTGTAATTTTAGTGCTCATAGTATGCCTGTCGGCGGCCACACCACTACTGGCCTCCAGTGCCGCCGGCGACGTAGTCGGCAAACTGACGGTCGGATATCAGGGATGGTTTGCCGCCAAAGGGGATAACTCGCCGCGTAATTCGTGGATTCATTGGGTGGACAACAGCGACCATCCCTACAAAGACCACCAAAAGTTTGACGTCTGGCCGGACACTCGGGAATACACGCATACCTACCAAACGGGTTACGCGAACCTCGGTAATGGACAGCCGGCTAAGTTGTTCTCGTCGTGGGATAAGCAGACTGTGGACACACACTTCAAATGGATGCATGAGGTGAATATCCTAGTGCCTATATATCCTAAAATGGTCTTATGTTATGCTCAGGGTCTATCTATTTTAGATTTGAGCTTAACATGTTTACCAACCTTTTCCAATGAGTGATTGATGACACGTGTAATGTTGGCAAACATGTATAAGTTATACAGTATAACCATCAAAAATAGTCACTGGCTATGCCTATGAATCAATTACTCCCTACTCCCAAATTTAGGAGCTACTAACATTTTGTATGTGATTGCTATAGCCAATAGGTCAATGTATACTCATTGCCTAAACAAATGCAAACTACCTTAATAGTGATGATTATAATTGGCACTAATTAGCTATTATAAACCTATGCGTAACTAAATATACAAAACTAAGTGTTTCATAAAAAGTATTCACATATGGCTTGTGTCCGATCAGAACAACATCGATACGGCGGCCCTCCAGCGGTTCGCGGGCGGCGTAAAGAGCGACCCCGTATACCGCAAACTGCTCAACGGTGTGGCCGACAACGTGAGGGCTGGGGCCGAGGCTCACGGACCCAAGTTTTACGTGATGTGGGATATCAGCGGTTGGAATAACTTCGCCACAGAAATCATCGAAGACTACGACAACAACGTTAAGAGCCTGACCACCAGTAAGGCCTACGCCCACCAGAACGGCAAACCCGTGGTCTGCATCTGGGGCTTCGGATTTAACGATAGGCCGCAGAACATTACGGGAGCCCTCGCCCTCATCGAGCACCTCAAGCAACAGGGTCTCTATGTGGTGGGTGGTGTGCAGACCCAGTGGCGCACCGACACCACCGCCTGGAAGGACGTCTACTTGAAGCTCGATATGTTGCAGCCCTGGGCGGTCGGCCGATTCGGGGGCGTTAAAGGAGCCCAGGATTATAAGCCGACGTTGGAGGCGGACCACAACACCCTTAAACAACATAACATAGGCTAGTATTGCTCAGGGTTACTTGTAATGCCATATTTTGCAATCTACTAATTATTTTATAATTGTTGTATCAGTATTTTAATGATAAAAATCATTGTTATTCCTATTGATATAGATTATCAGCCAGTTTTATTTGCGGGATTCTCGTGGGGCAACTGGATGCCCAAGGCCGTACGCAATCAGATCCCGCGTGAGCATGGTGATTTTATGTGGCGTCAGTTCGTGAACGTGCGAGAGCTGGACATCCCGTCGTGTTATGTGGCGATGTTTGACGAGTACGACGAGGGGACGGCCATCGCAAAGGCGGCCGAGAATAAGTCAATGGCGCCGACAG